AGGAGGAGGAGGAGGAAGCAAAAGAAGAAGAAGAGAAGAAGAAGAAGCCAATAGTTGCAGCACAGTCCTTGTCCAGGACCCGTCCAGTCAGATTCATCTCGATCACCTTTTGATAAACATGTCTGGGATTCCTGAGAGATCTTAGTTAATAGGCCTACACAGGCATGCACACACACACACACACACACGCACACACACGCACACACGCACACGCACACGCACACACACGCACACACATACACACACTCACACACACGCCGCCTGTGCACAATCTAGTCCCGTATTATACAATACAATATGTGTATCCACTGATAGTAGTACATGTAACACCCAGGGGTATTTCAAGGACGCTGACGCTGAGGCTATTTCTTTCTTTCTGTTTGTTTCTGTTTATTCTCTTATTGTGTTTTGTTTTGTTTTGTTTATTCTCTTATTATGTTTTGTTTTGTTTCTGTTTATTCTCTTATTGTGTTTTGTTTTGTTTTATTTTATTCTCTTATTATGTTTTGTTTTGTTTTCAACAAAGTACAAATGTACTTGACAAACTGCTAAACTAAGTGGATGGTTGGAGGACACAGCTGACAGGCTGTTGATTCTATCCTTTCTCCTCCCACTGGATGACCATGCTGGTGGTGTCGATGGGCTTCTCTTTCAAATGTACTCAAGAGAAACACAGAAACAAAGCACACTGTCCTGTTACATTGTACTGCTAACTAGTGTCTCACCAGGCGCCTAGTAGACTACTTGGCAGACGACAAAGGACGCAAACGTCCCCCCGGGACAAATCCACGAGTTTTAGTTTTAGTTTTATGGGCGTTTCCCATGAAATGTTGACCCGGTCCATTCGAAGATGCCGAATAGTCTTGACACGGGCCGTTAAACCTACAACCAGATCTATTCATTTCACCGAATCAGGGATGTGTCGAACATATTAAACGTTCATCTCCGAACCGTTGAGTTCTCCGTGCCTGGCTGTAAAATAAAGTTGTTCCCGCATCCAATCCGGACATTAACTTGTCAGTGAGACAACTTCCTGGGCCTTGGGCATAGTGTGGTAGGGTGGCCAGTTCCTTTCCACGCCGCCTTTACTTCCCCAACTCGAAGTCAGGTACCCATTACTGCTGGGTGGGCAGGAGGGGACGAAAAAATTCCGTGTCCGAACCGAGGCTCGAACCCGGACTTTCCGCTTCGGAGACAAGCGCACTAACCGCTCCGCCACCGCACCTCTGACTGTACTTTCTATATTATTTATACAATCACGCTATTGTTACCTTATTCTGGTTATTTTGTGCAATCGGTTCCAAGTTGGCTACTCAAATTCTCATCCATCGGCCCAATTTGCGTTATTTAGGAGGCGGCCAGCTTCAACTCTGCCACTGTAGAACGAGCCGGAGAGCGTATCCCAGCAGAAAGGTGAGGTTGGGTGCTCCATACTGTACCCCAGGAGAAGGACTGGATCCGGTACCAGTACTCGATAACCATATCCCTTCACGGGAACCTAACCCACGTCTTCCACGAGTGATGGCCAAGAGCCTAAACTAAGCACCACATAGGCTAGTATTCTCCTTCTTGCTGGTACATGTACTCCAAACTACGAGTAAAGTACCCAGACACACAGCGGGTGGTTGGTGGCTGCTCTGGCCTGGTTTGCTCCTTCTTTCCTTTGAAACATCTATCGTCCTTATTCTCTCCTCAGCCGGGTCAGTGGCCAGCCTTGCGTATTTATTTGTTTGTATGAATAAATAACGGCCATTTCGTGTTGGGAAACAGTAAGACAGACAGATAGAAACAACAGAGGGAAAGTAAAGAAGTAGACCAAACCAGAGGTGCCCTCCAACCACCCGCTGCCTTGCGTATTATTGGATAGTACATTGTACTGCGTTGGAGTTAGACACAGAACAAATGGAAAAGGCATTCCGATTTTGTGTCAGCTCGAGTGTGAGAAAAGAGAAGCATTCTCTTTTTTT